GTTTGAAATGAGCATAAATTATAACATTCTGAAGAAAATTTTACAAGAAATTCCTTAAAGAATTTTCGTGTTTACTGAAAAAAATGTCATAAGTTCAGATTTTGACGAACCTCATATAAATCATTACGAACAATTATTTTGTTATTCAAAGTTAAAATGTATTAAATAAAAATGATATTACCGCGAGTATCCAGCCTTATGCCTTTCAAACATTCCATATATAATAGTGATGACCTCTCAATTGTCAACATCAGTTATTTTTTACTATTTATATTTATAAGTCATACAAAAATAAACAACGAATTCTTAATTTGAGTTTATTGAAAATTAATATTTTTTAGACGAACCCCATTGTGTTTTCACGAGTAAATCGGAACATCGGCGTCTGAGAATAAGCAAGCACAAAACTTCCTCTGGAAACTTTTTATTTTTTTATTTTCTGCTCAGTGTGCAGCTGAAATTATATATATCAGGTACCACACAAATTTCCTGGAAAGTAATAATTTTACCCTTTGGCCTATTTATAATTTAAATTAACCGACCAAAGTTGAACACAGTAGTCGGATTAAAGAACTGTTGTTAAAGTTTTGAACCTATAGTGGTTATATCGCCAGTATAGGTATACATGGCTTTTCCATCAAATTGTAATTTCTCATTGTATAATTACTTTATAAAATTACCGTTTAATGGTCCTTAACACCTAAAGGCATTTAATAATAATTCGGCAAATAAAACGAATTTCAGCGTTCAAATTATACGAGTGCTACTTATATAGTAATATAGTATACAAACGAAGGAAATATATACCTAACGTATCTGTATGCTATTATTAATACGGTTAAACTTTTTATCTAAGTAGATTTCAGTATATTTGTAGTGCTCTTACGCTGTTTAGAATCTAATAGTATTCATATTAAAAGTATATAAGGGATATTAAACGATTTTTTTTAGTTCGTTAAGTTAAATATAAACTATACTCAATTAACTATAATGTATACGGTAAATACTGTATCTACTTTATAATAGTCCTTTATTTGAAAAAATCATGCCATAAAAACAAGGTTAGACGAAACTTGACGTTTAAATCGGTAATCTGCAGTCTTATTAGAATTACATTACATTAACATATCCAGTGTCGTAAAACGCAGATGTACTGGGTGTGCTTTGTTGAGGGGGTTTTTAAGGTTTTGAGTGTAACGAGGGATGTATTAGTTTTACTATGAGTGTTTCTTTTTCTGTAAGTTAATAACTTTTCTACCATAAACCTTGCTCCAAACAAAAAATTACAAGAGACGTTTATTTGACGTTTATGAGTCTAATTGGTGCATTAGAGAAGTGATTTTATTTTTTCCGAAGGGTTATCATAATAATTAAAAATAACCGAAAACAAAATAGTATCAAAAATAGAAAAATAATTACAGTACACCGATTAATTTTTTTAAAAATATTTATGATTTACGTTTTTCAGCAGAAATCTTGCTTCAAACAAAAAATCCTAAGAAACTTTTTTTTTTTGATTTTTGAATCAAATAAGTTAGTTTAGTAAGAAAAGACGTGTTTTGATATTTTTTGATAATTGGGACAAACCGGAAAATATGGTTTACAAACTTTATGGTTTCATTATTTTTGATTTTGGTTTTTTATTGTTGATTGTTTAAAAATTAAAGTAGAGAGCTGAAATAAAAATGAGGTTCATTAAGAGTCTAATTTTGTCGCCAAAAAAAAGAAAATTTGAGTTTTTTTTTTATAAAGGAATTTTAATATACAATTTTGACGAAAATCGTTGAGTAAAAAATTATGTGGAATAAGTCTAATTTTTCAATATTTTATTTTTGAACATATGTATATTGTCGATTTAAGAACGATGGTGAAGTTAGAATTGATTGGACTAACTAAGTTTTGAAATTATAGCTTTTTGAAGTTCTGATATTATGCGGATATTATATGTTATGTTAAATAAATATTGTCTTTTCTAGAGTATGTTTGTCGTAGCTATATGGTTATACATACCTATTTGAATCCTAGAGTCCACGAGTATTCTTTCTTTTACCTAAACAAGGAAAACACAAATGCATTTTGGGTGTACCTAGAGACCCGAGCCATCGCTTGCTCGGACAATTTTAACCGCAAAATACCTCTCGATTTGTGGTGTAAACTTTTCTACCAAAAATCTTGCTCCCATGTATCAAGTGTAGCTTATTTTCTGAAAGGAAATTTTATCTCCGTGGTAACTTGAGAAGATCATTATTCCAAGTTTTCTCAGCAAGTGTGGAAAAACTGAGAAAAATTTGGGAAAACCGGGAAAAACGCAAGAAAAACGGGGAAATCGGTACAAATATTAAACAAATATTATTTAAGAAAATACATAATGTGACCACAATATGACATATATATTGTTGACAAAGCATCACTATCAACTGAACTGCAATCAGAATCGTTTTTTCGTTAGCAATGGTTTATCGTTGCTTATAGATATACATTAAATTACCTATAACAGTGGCTGCACCCGTCTCCATTATACTAGGACGTCTTTTTTTACTTGCAACGTTAAAATCACTTCAGCCGTTTTCAAGTGATGCATGGACAAACATTTGTGGACATTTATTTTTATTTACATAGATATCATATAGGTATTTACTTAAAACAGAATACTACATTTTAAGGTGATGACGAAATCAAATTTTAACCATATATAGAAGCGAGAGATAAATGCCATATCAACAATATTTAATTTCTAATGGATTTAAACACGTTTAAACATTTTGTGTTTATTTTTTTATGAAGTTCAATAGCCATTTCTACAACTTATAATTTATTGCAATAGAAGAAACAATTCGTACTCGAGTTCGTATTATAGTCTAGCGATGTTACGAAATTTAAACAATAAGCACCTATTGAAACTTCCTAACTTTTTAAATTTTGTACTGTGCAACCTTACAATTTATTATAATATGGTCATATTAACATAATAATATTATAGCAGGATTGATTTGTGGAACCATTCTAGTGGAACAACTATAAACTAGTAACCATTACGAGTGCAAGTATAGGTATTTTAATAATTCCGTTAACGAATAATTTATCCATTATCGAATAGTGAAAATATGTAGAAACGCGTGGGTGTTGCAAATTCTGTGACCCATGTAAGCGGTCCGAATCGTTCTACGCGTTAATGAAAATTCACCGGATACTTAGGGTGTCTGCGAGCCCATTGTTGAGGATCGGTATTCGGTATTATAATATTATACATATTATACAGTGTATGCAATTTCATTGAGAATATTACTACGTAATCAGATAATGTACTAATTATTATAAATTATTAATGAGACCGCGCAATGTTTACAAGATGATATAAATTAATAACGTGAGCAATAAATTACTTTAACCCTCGCGGCATATGCGTCAGGCCGTGGTGATGATTTTGATAGGCAGGAAAACGCGATTTAAAAATATAATATTATTACTTATATAAAACTGATTATTATCGTTAATTTAATATACCTGCCGAGAGGAGTATTTATAGACCCATATCTGAGTGAGTTTTAGGATCTTAACAAAATACCCACTTGTTGGACAAAACCTGATACAATTCTAAAGAATCTAGTGTAAACCTAAAACCTACTATCTAGTCAACGAAAAACTACCACGGAATTAGCAGAGGTGAAATGGAAAAATCACGACTGTTTGCGTATTTACTTACCGCTTGGTCCAAACTCGGATAAGATTTGTAAACACACTATCTGTTGGAAACTCGATCGCGAAAATCTATGATGAGAAAAAAATCGAATTTGATTTGAAGTTTCTGAACGAAATTTTTAAAAAAAAAAAACAAATAATTGGCTTTTTAGTTTTTCGATTACATTCCGAAACACACGACAATAATAGTATATTTTAATATAGATCGTTAGTCGCTCAAACGGTAATATGAAATATATTTTAACAGGATTTAAAATAGTCATCTACAAAACCAAGAACATTTATTCTCCTTTATTTGAATACTATCTTCGCTGGCTTGAAGTTGACCAGACACCAAACATAAACATAGTAAAACAATATATAAATAAAAAATTAATTAATCAATGAATGCGTTGCCTAGAGTATTATGATAAATGTATTATACAACCGGTTACCAATTAAAAATTCATCATCAGGTATATCACAGCCGAAATGTAAAATGCGACTGAATAAAAACAATTAAATAAAGGAATACATAGAAAAAAATTATACAAATAGGTCATTTTACGTAGAAATAATTTATTTTAATAGGAGAGATTATTTAAAATGGGTTGTTATAAGACATATTTAGATATGTCAAGAAATATAAATTATTTGTTTATTATTTATTATCTAAAATGTATCGATATAAAATATTTTTTTTAAATCGCTTTGTACATTTAAAATATTATTAAAATGATAAGTATAATTTACTATTAAGTGTAATTTATTACACTTATCATAATACTCCAGGCGACGCATTCATTCAATTAATTTTTTATTCCTGTACATACATTTTTGATTTATATATTTATTTACTATACAAAAACAGAATTAGAAATTATACTTTCTACTAGTAACATACTAAATAAACTAAGCCTACTACGTTGTTAAAAATTACTTTATATCAAAATTAATTTTTTCATTAAATCGGAAGTCGGGATCTACTCACCCCGACTGTTCCATCACTCAAATTTACTTTGGTTCATTGCCTTTAAAGAATCCATATCGCCACGCTATGGTGTGCCACCGGTTAGAGGCTTTAAATATTAAATTTTAAGTACTATTTACCTCCCATTCCACCCAAACCTTTCAAATATTTAAAATGTGTTTTGGTTTAGTGTGCCATTGCCGTATAGGTTATTATTTGAATTATTTTTTTTTTTTTTTTCGTGTCAGGCATCATATAATTAAATTTAAAACAAACATGTAATTTATAAAACAAAACTAAATAGATAATATCAAATAAGTAAAATATGTAAAATATAAATAATAATAACACACTAATATAATGGTAACAAGTATTGCATACTAATTATATCTTTTCTTTTGTCCAGTATATGGCTGTATTTACCGCCCTCTTGTTGCTTATCATAAGGTCCTCTTGTGTACATGGGCTTGGCCCTCTTGGGCAGACAAGTAGGTGTGACGTTGTCTGCTCTTGTCCACATATGCAAGTTATGTCTTGCTCTCCATATCCCCATTTTCTCATATTTTCTTTTGTCCGTCCTACACCAACACGCAGTCTGTTCAGTGTCTTCCATACCGGCCAGTCTAGGTTGTTACCAGGAGGTAATCNCAGTTATCTTTAGGAAAGACTTTCTTGATTTCAGACGAGAAGTGGGGTCATTTTGGCCATACATAGGGTGCCTCGTGTCTCTTTTTTGTTTACCGCGTTCAATTTTAGAGGATATCAGACGTCGAACTGGTGGTGGAGGGATACCTGCTAGTAGGTAAACTTTGTCCATTGGTGTATTTCTTAGGCATCCTGTGATTAGTCGACATGTTGTATTTAAGGCGATATCTATTTTCTTCGCGTGGGTAGAGCTTCTCCAGACCGGGCATGCATACTCCCCTACTGAGTAGCATAGTGCCAACGCTGAAACCCGTAACGCATGTGGTTGTGCGCCCCATGCTGATCCCGTTAATTTCCGTATCAGACCATTCCGGGTATTGATTTTCTTACTCGTTTTTTCGCAATGGGTCTTGTATGTTAGTGCTCTATCCAATGTCACGCCTAGATATGTGGGTGTACCACAATGAGTTAGTTCTACGTCTTTTGAATTATTAATTATAACGAAAACCGTTTTTCGTTTCGTTTTTTCCGACCTAATATCAGTCTATGACCTATCTATCTACCTTATAGTATATAGTGACATAGGTTTTTAGTTATTATAGGTATATAATTGTTATATAAAATAACATGTCCTGACTGACTGATCAATTCATCATCGCCTAATCTTAAACAACTAAATAGATCAGACTGTCATTTTACATACAGATAGATACTATGGCATAGGCATCCAAGAAAGGATTTTTGAAAATTTAACCCCTAAGGGGTTAACATATGGGTTTTTAATTATTTTTGGTATGAATATTGAATTGTTTATTTTTGTTTATTCATGGGTTACCTTAGTGATATCTACCGATGATAATTTGGTTGTCACGAACAAGAAAACTATTATTATTATTACTATTATATTTTACACTATTATCTGGCAATATCAAAACATTACCGGATCAGCTAGTATTGTATAGTATCACAAAAAATATGCATAATAGTTAAAAAAAATTATTTATTTTTTTAAATTTTTTTAAGATTTTTAGATAACAAAAAACTATCTATCATGTACTCGTTTACAGCAAACTACCGTGGTATATTCCGAATCGCTTGATTTTCTGTTAAATAAACGGCTTTGGGTGGCTAAAAATTGTATTTAGGCATGCGTATGGTGAGTTATTTTTTTAAACTTTTAAAGAACTGAAAATGAGAATATTATTTTTGCTTACGATCTATTATAATATTTAATTAATAATCAGAATAGATATCATAATAATAATAATGATAATAGAATCAGAATAGATTAATAATCAGAATAAATAGAATAGACCATCGGCAAAATTGCTTAGTCATTATTAAAAAAAAATAAATAAAAAACATTAAATAGAACAAAATTTAATTTAGGTGTCAGATTTTCGTACATATTTAAACATATATATGCTTTTCTTTCTTGTTTCCTTTTTTCTAAAACTACATTTTTTTTTCCTAAATAAAATCTATTCATAAAATATAATTATAATTTATTTTAATTAACATCAAAAATTAAATTAAGTTAGAATCGAGTAGTATATTATATTATATTTAGCATAAATATATATGTATATATACTCAGAATGATTTTTTTTTAATCGTTATGCTGATGGTTTGAATTCCCAACTATCCTACCTATTAAAAAGGCAAGAAAATTAGCATCCGATAAAAAAAAACTACGTCTTTTAGTTTAATCATTTTTGATATACAAACATTTAAGTGTTTAAAATAAACCTAGTGTTTTTCGAGAAAAATTAAAATTGTATCATATTTTATTATATTTCCGCTGTTTTATTTCGTAAATTAACATATTACATCCAATATGCATACACCAATAATTTTCTCGGTGAAAACGAGACTTTGAGACTTTATTCACAGGTTAGAGTTGTTTGGGTTGTTTCGTATTATTAACATAATTACTGACATCTGGTGAGTGTCCAGTCGGATCAACGGTACCTGCTACATATTTGAAGTTAAACCCGATAATATTAAACTTGTAAGGGGAAGCATTGTAAAAATATTACAAAATTCCAAGTCATTTTTATAGTATACTTACTACATAATTACGGCTGAATTGGTTTCGACTGACTTGAACGGAAGTTTTATGATTTTAGCCTGTTTTCGTCGTAGGTATTTGTAATGAAATAATTTAATTTGTATGACTGATTAAGTATAATTGTATTTTTACTCGGATTTGTATACCGATCTAAAAATACAAATTATGTATTATAAAGTATAGTTTTAACTATGGTGAGGGTAATTAAGTTATTCGCTCTATTACGAACAGCGGGTACATATTACACTTTGCAAGCGCAATTTCACTCTATTTGAACATAATATGTCATTTTTATTTTGATGGACTATTTATGTAAAGTTTTATGAAAATACGGACTAATATTTTAATGTTCAAAATAATTTAAAGAATGCTTAATAAATAGTTAAGCACCGGTGGATTAGGTATATGATTTCGAGAAAAAAAAGAAAAAAAACCGTATCATAATAAAACTACATCAGTAATAATTACTATAGAAATAGTATCTAAAAAACGGCTACACATATTAGAAGATGTGCGAGTATATTACATATATTACAGTGATTTTTCGCGGTTGTATAAAACAATGTGTAGGGCACGACGATTTTTTTTTTCTGCAATTGCACCTATATAGGTACTTCATAGATAGTCCAATAGAAATGTGATCAATATTTGTCATGAAATTCAAAGTTATCCGAAATTCCGGTGTACATTTTCAGTAATGAAAGCTCGGATTCTGACGCGTCTAATTGAGCATATTAAGTATATCGTGCAACATTATCTAATTTAAACAAATCTTCAGGTGGAATAGCTAAAGCTACCTAAATCATATTTGGATATAACTATCGCGGTTCAGTCTTAATTAACATTATCTATACGGACAGTATAATATTTCGTTAGAGGTGTAGTGCTAATAAATGATTGAGCAATAATTTATTAAAATGTCAAGTTTAAGGCGTACGGCGCTGGTATATTCAAACCGGCAAACGGCGGGGGATTAAAATGTCAATTGGCATTACTTCCCTTGCACATTGAAAAATTAAAAAAATTATTTATTCATGCCGATTTGAAATAACACACCTGTGATACTTATATTATTATATTTAACCCGTGTCAGATTTAACACAGTGCACACTACACGCTGTGATAACTGTTATATAACCTAACCTGCCTAACGTAATAATATGTTAAATTTTGACATAACGGTATTACTGTTGTTTGAGATACGGAACATACAGATTACATCGGGAATATCTGTGGTGTACAGAGCAATTCTTTTTTCACGAACCGTGACGATTATCTATAAATACGAAGATTTTATAATTCGTATCTGTATTTATATATGGATAATTCTATTACCTATATAATATAGTCTTCCGCGACTTGAATTTTAAACTGTTACATCGATGTTTTTAGAAACCTCTTAACATTTTTTTTTCTCGCGATATTTTATTCGGTTGAGTAGAAAACGATTTCCCTCAAATTTTTATTAAATCCTCGAGGTTTTTTCGAGAAGTAGGTGTTAATAACTAAATTTGATTTTAGAAACCGTTATTGCCTATATAGGTATACTAAAAAGGTTACTCGGTCGGATTTTTATTTTTTTGGTACACGAGTCGTTATCGAGTTGGTGACATTATTACTCATTATGCGAATAGAAAATATAATTCTCGGAAAATGTTAATTCGAAGATACAAGCAGATGAACTTCGGGAGACCAGCGTTAGCTGCGGCACACGATGGATATCTGGAGGGCTATTCCACTAGCGAAAATTCGCAAAGTACACGCATACTTGTTCTCTTACTTTCTCGGCATAGTACTATTACATTAAAATTCTCACTTAAATTACGTCAACTATGATATATCTGGAGGTAACGTACTCGACTTAATTGGCGAACTTTATTGTATACGTCCGATTCGATTATCTTTCAGATTGTTATTAAAATTTAAATATTTTTTTTATAAACGGTAATGCGGTACTTATGCTTTCTTAAATTGTATTGGTGTATTAACGAAATGCATTATTGTTTTTCTTGGATTGTAGGATTAGATATTTATTATAAAATAAACGCTATGAAACTTGATTTGTTTTGGCTGGGCAATTACAATGAACGGGAAGGTCGGAAAAATAGTAGAAAATTAAGAATTAAACGATCGTGCTTACACATCAAAAAATCAGTTCATCGATTATGAAACGAAGTATACCGGAACAATTTTCGTAGAAAGCAACCATACGTTTGTTTGAAAGTTTCGCAAGAATTAATTTATATTTCAGTTATCGATATCTCATGTGATAACACTAAATAAAAACAAAAAGTACGCTTCTATACAATAGTGAAACGAACCCAAAATAACCCAGAAGCAACCTTTTTAATCTTTACCATCTAAACCAGTAATCGATCCACCAATATTTCCCAAAATGTTCTCCTATTTTTGTTTATACATTTTTTTCATATTCAGTATCCGCTCTCACCTCTTTAAATCAAACAAATCGAGATACAGCCGCTTTTTAAAGACCGCATTCGTTTTTCCACTGCTTCTATAATAGAAATGAACGGAATAAAGGTCAACGAGAAATTCTCTGTGTACGTTCTTTCGAAAGTATGTGAAGTGCGCACGCACCGTTTCACACAAAATAACTGAATAACCCCCTCCCTCTGATTATTATAATATTGCAATATGTTTGTACTCTGTGGTTTTAGTTGTTTTCAGAATAATAATATTATATTATAATCGCGAATTCACAACATTTCGTGAAAATAACGTTTTCGAAAACCGAACATAAGGTTGATCGGTTGTGCGTAGCACTACTCTTCTTGGAAAATAATATAGACGCGAGCCGTCTCAGGGACGTCATTTATATTTTTTTATTGTTGGTGCCCAAATATTTGCAAGCCATTGCAAATCATAATTAGGCCGTAAATATGGGAACCTTTTTTATGGGGGGAGGGGCAATCAAATGGGGATATATTCTTTCTATCTTCTTCTTTTATGCCTTCTCTGCCAATTATATAGGGCCGACCACCATTTTTCTACACCTCCATAGTGATCTTAATTACTAACTCAATATATGTTATTATAAAACACTTATAGGTATATCGGCGCTTATATTTTATTTGGCAGGCCAAAGAAGACGTTTTAAAAAAGTTGGTGCCAATGCACACCCTGCACCTTCTCCTCCTAAATAACACTCCTGCCATGTCTTATCCCGAATATTGCTGTCGGTAGACAAAAAATTGTTTCAAATTACTTCTTCGGAAAAAAAAATGTTGGCCAGCCTTATGAAAATAAATTTAATGATTTATAATCAATGTGTAATTATAGGTAACCGTAGAGTGAAACTCGCACCCCAACACTGGCCTCTCGAAGACGTCGGCTAAAGTTCATCGACCTGTATTGTCGATGACCCGTTTTCGAGAATTCTGCTTTAAGACGTCCAACCAGGCATCCATCGTGACTAAGATAATTTTATTTTCTCCAACTGTCTCGTTGTTTACTCATACGTTTATCGCAAGAATATTCAATTACAAAACTTTAAACTTTTTCAATGGCGCCCTTTTGATTATAGAGCTCGGTACGTGGGCACCTCTCGCAGCTCCCTAGACACGGTCCTGGATCTAAATATCATACAACACTATTATCATAATCGAAATTTGTTTCATTCGTTTACAAAATATTATTGAAATTGATGGAATAATATTAGAATATCTGTAATGAAAATATGGTCTTATAAATTAGTTAAATTCACATTATTTTCACACGAAAATAAAACTTATATTGTCCGCAATACTTTAAATAATGAAAATGAAGTTGATTTGCACTACAACGGAAACTACGGTGTACAGAATTTAGAAATTTCGATCGCACAAAATAATAGGACGATACTAAATTTAATAGAAATACATTTGTTTATATTCTAAGCGTAGCATACGCGTAATATTTTTAAAATTATACGTGTTGTTAGGTAATCTCAGAAAAACTTTCTGTGAGGAACCAAAATTTTTGCTTCAATCGATTAATAACAAGACTTTTTTTGTTACATTGTCTACCAGAAATGACGTAAAAGAAAAGTGGACAAATTTACGATTTTATTTTTTTAAATCTGTACGATTTTTGTTTTCCTACCATATAAAACTATATTTCTAACTATACCAGACATATTATTACACTTAATACCCGAGGACGTGATACCCGCATGTGCTGTCTCCGTCTTACAAACGTACAATATAGCAGATGTTCGTTCAGCAGGGACAACTTTGCGCTGTTAGTATTAATATTAGAGTGAATTGACCTATTATCAAACTTAAATATAACAGCATTTTTCTAGATATTCCTTTTTTCAAGCGAGACCAAATGATTATGTAATTGTGATATTTCCCACACTCACATTTCTCTCGTATTATTGTATTTTTTTTGAATCAGTGTTAAAAAAATATATCTACTATTTAAAAATCAATACATTAAAATATTATAAAAAAGATCATTAACACTATTCTACATTACAAGTTAAGATGTAAAATCAATACAACCAAATTTACTAAAAATCTTCATTGGTAATCGCTGCATTTTGTATACCTTGCACATTATTATCAAGTATGAATTTCAGTCATTCTTTAGATTTTTAATTGTTAAAGCCTATATTTATTAGTTACTGTATAAATATTGTAGGTAAACAGTGTGTCCCACTGTGTTCGACGGATTTTTCTTGCGTTGTTAATATTAAATGTTTTTCAATATTTTTTTTTTTCCATTCGATTTGTCTTTGATGAAACATTGATTTGGAAAAAAATTAAATTTTTATTTTCATCCCCTAAAGACAAAAAAATAAAAATAACTGTTTATTCACTTAAGAAAATTTTCAAAATAGCTATTATATAAAAAATATTATTAAACAAATTTTAATGTATCACTCATTCATTTCCTATGAATAATTTCTTAGTTATAGCCGTTTTATTTAGACGTGAAAACAATTAATATTCAATAAAATAACACGTTATGCGATAAGGAATTAAAATCAGTACGGTAATTCTTTACCTTCTATTGAATGTTTTCACACCTATTTTCTAGAAATTAAAACAACTATAACTAAGAAATTATTCATAGGAAATTAATGAATGAATTAAAAATTGTTGAATAATATTTTTCATAAAATAGCTATTTTAATAATTTTCTAAAGTGAGTAAATAAAAAGTTATAATTTTGTTTTGTTTCTAGGGAATGAAAATAAAAATTTATTTTTTCTCCAAATCAATGTCTTTCTTGAAGACAATCTAGTTGGAAAAAAAAATAAATATTAACAGTGCTAGATTAATCCGTCGAACATGTTAGGACACACTGTATAATGAAAACTAGACAAATTTTCACGACGTTTAAATTCACAAAAATAGTATAATATATTCCTTGTATATTCAGCATTTAACATTTTTTTTATGCTTAAAATTTGCTCGTTGATTATTTATATATTAAAAATTGTGTATTTGTATGGATTTAAAAGAAGAAAAAAAATTATTAAAACTTAATACGGATAATGACGTATATTATTCTTGTTTGAGCTATGAAACCATACAAATTGTTCATTTATTATTACATCGCGGTAACGTCATTACAATTTACAATTGAATGTATTTATATTGATTCAAAGCAGGCAAAAATCCAAGAAAAAAAAGTATAAAAGTTTTATAAACTATAAAGAATAAATGTTTATGCGTTAAAATTATGTACCGCAAGAAATGCGTCATTTTGTCAACAATAAGTCACATTTTGAATAAATTAAAAACATATCACAAATCAAGCGAAGTATTATTGTACTTCAAATATTTTTTTTATAGTCCAATCACAATACTATTTTGGAAAGTTCAAATTTCTTTTATGTTTTTTTTTTTTTAAATTTAAATAGCCAGATACTTACCTACGATATTATACGTGTTATAATGTTTCTCGAAACCATTTTGTTAAATCTACTGCTGATATATTTAAATAATAATTATCAATAAAATATAATTATAATTCTTCTTTTTTTTTTCGAGTTCTATGAATTTGTGTTTGTTTTTTATTTTTTTAAAAAAGATTTTTGGAAGGGTTTTTTGAAAAATGCTGCACTAATATACTACAAGTTCAACAATCGCTACTATTTACCCTAACCTCTATAAATATATATTTTATGAATTTTCATACGTATTGTACATACGTTTACATCGTTTTGGTTAACTTTGTAATACATTTTTTTTAGTATAGAAAAAAATATACGAGAATGTTATTTATATTTTATTTAAAAAAAAAAAAATCGCTACTGTTGAAATCATCGAGAGCTACAGGTTAGTTGTCCAGTTTTTTTTCTATATAATAATATTATATCGAAAAAAAGATAAATCATTATATTCAGTGGTGCAGTTATTTTTCGAGCTGTAGTGCAAGATAACTGAAATTTATTTTGTAAAAAACGGAATTCCGTAAAATGCACCGTTTTCTGAAACTTTTCATATATTTGAACTGTACGTAGCGGCAAGTCTTCTTCTCCTCCATCCTAAATTCCAACTATTTGAGGTTGGCCACTCTTGTTCTAAACTTCTACTTAACCCGATCTTCTATCTCGCATACATTCGGCTGTCCTCATATCAATTTCAATCGCATTTTAACCACTTATTTTTTTGGTCTTCCTTTCATCGCTTTCCTTTTAACTTCAATTCTGACTGATTCAAATTCCTCTCTTTCTGTAACATGCCCTAACCATCTCAATCTATGTTGTCTCATTTTGTCTGCTATCGAAGCCATATCTAAGCTACCTCGTATGTACTCGTTCCCTAACTCATCTTCTCTCGTCACTCTACTCATCCGCCTAAACGTTCTCATATCTGCTATATTCATTCTCTATTTTATTATTTTGTCTACACTCTGAACCATACGACATAGTCAGTTTCACCTCATGTTTGTAGAACTTAACTTTAAGTCTCATTCTCTTGACATATAAATAACAGGGAGAATATTTTGGTGAGATAAAAACCATCGCCATACGGTAAAATTTCAATACTTTAATATAATAACTGCTTCGTTTTCTTCAAAATGTATAAATCAAAATACACAAACAAACTATCGATATTGGAACTACGTATACTGGTCGCTGTTGTATTATTTTTCGAGTTTAAGCTCTACGAATCATTACCACATTTGGAAAACGATTCCGAGCGTAGAAAACGGCTTACCAAAAAAGGTCAAGAATTCGTGTGATTCACATTTAAACGCTTTCTAATGATTTTTTTATCCGTTTTTCACAGCTTCGGCAAAAACATTTTGTTAAACTCCCAGGAAAATTCTGAAAATAAACCTTCTTCAAATAGCATCCATACTCTGCGGTTTTCTATATATTATTTTATATTACACTATATCTAAAAATGCTTTAGTTTTAATAATAAAAGTGATTTCAGACATTTTTAAAAAAAAAAAACTTACAAAATCAACACAATAATTTTATAGTAAGTACCACAGTGCTATACAGATTGAAAAAAACTAAACAAAAAGATAAAAACAAAGAGAAATGTTAATCATAACGTATTTTTTGATTACTAGTTTTCAGTAAAATCGAACTTTCATAATTTGTTCTTAGTGTTATAAAGTTAAATTGTATTTTAGTTCTACAAAAATAATATTTATTGTGCCTGTTGCAATTTCTCTCCTCCCCCTCCTCAAAACGATGCCTTAGATTTTCCCCTTACTGAGATTAGCTTTTTAAATTACGTAATTTTATCAGTGACATTAACGTCTCTTTTGTTTAACATCTGAATAACTTTTTAAAATTTAATTTGTGTTATACAATATAAAATTCTAATTCTTACTCAGATTTATTTTTGAGGGGCTAATTCGATACTTGTGCATTGTTGACGTTGGCTTATCTGTTTTTATTCGCACCGCAGATTTTAGAGCAATATAAATATTTTAATGGCAATAACGATGATGACTTTGCACCCATTATATAAATTTTAATTTTTAAATATTGCCCAATCATTTAGTAAATATTTTGTACGCATTTTTATAGTTAACCCAATAATTTGTACGATAATGGTTTCAACAAAATGTATGAAGAGCCTTAGGAGCTTGAGAAACCCCTAACAGTTACCACCAACATATAAATTATAGGTAATAGTCATTATGTATAATATCTACTCTGTATATAATCCTGTAACCGATATACATTATTGGCACTTGTTTTTATTGAAACATAGATTAATCATTGTTTTATAAATAGGTATGACTGATTACGAATCGTTTGGAACAACCTTTTGGCTTTTATTTCCGTAAAACAGTTTTATTGTTGGGTCGCACCCTGTAAGTCATACTTTATAATATAAAGTATGGTTTAGCTCTCTTTGTTGATATTACCACGCATTTAAATATTCTCAACCTACAATTATAAGGAAAAAACAAAGTTATCACGACTCAATTCATTTATTTACGATTATGGGAGATTCTACTTTCATTAATTAACTTGGTACACAGTTCTATATTAATACAGTTATCAACAGACAGTAATGATAGTAAAAAATATATTTCATACATTTTATTATTAAAAAATGAATTTATGAACAGATTTGCAGATTTTCAAAAATATAAAAATGATTTTCTATTTTTTAGTGATCAATTTTTTATAAATGTAGAAAATGTGAAGGGAGATTTACAACTCGAGTTAATTTATTGTCAATGTAATTCTATTTTAAAATCAAAATTTGAAACTGTTGGAGTTCCAGAAGTTTTTAAATACCTTGGAAACATTTATTCAAAACTAAAGAAACACTTTTCTAAAATTGTATCCATGTTCGGTAGCTTTTATGTATGTGAACAATTATTTTCTCTCATGAAATTAAACAAATCGAAAAATCGCAATGAAATTACAATCTGTTTTACATTTGGACATCAACATATTCTTGTGCAAATATAGACAGATTAGTACAAAAGAAAAAATGTCAAGTTTCCAGTGCAGCTCAAAAATAAAAATAAATAAATAATCAAGATATTTTTAGATTTTAGTTCTAATTTTTTTTTTAAGTTAATGTTCATCATATTTTTTCAATGATAGTTTTGTAGTAAAATAAGTGAAATAAACAACTACATGGTTTATATTTTTATAAATAATTTTGGTAATAGTAATTATAAGAAAGGTAATTTTATAATATATTAAGTCATTTAGAATTTAGATAAATGGATTTTGTATTTATCTTTACCTTCATTTTGTTTTCAGTTTTTAATGTATAAGTAAAAAAGAGGACACTTAAAATTTGGTCCACAAACTTTTTCTGAAAAAATAGATTATTAATATTACTACATATTATTGTTATATTTTTATTAAAGCTACCTAGGTAGCTTTAATATTTTATTTTTGTTAGATTTCGGTGATGTACAGTACCTATATTAGATTATTTGAATATTTTGGAAATCTTCAACATAGTAATATTCTTATATACCTAGGTTATCAAACTTAATAATTAAACGGTCTGTGTGGTCTCTTCAAAATAAATTTATTTTGACATAAAATCAAAAGTTACGCTCATTCATGACTGAACTGCAAGTTCGTAATTAAACTGTGATAATTAGGATTAATACATACATTAAATAATTTTTTCAATTTTTGCCAAGTGAGTTTAAAATCGCATATTGTCATAGTCGTAAGTCTATTATTTCTATTAGATTATCAGGTACATTCATTAAATATCTAATATATGTTTAACATTAAAAATATAATAATGACAATATAACTTTGCGAGTAATGCGGGTTTCACCACGCGTCATGTCTTGTGAAATTTAATTAGTTGGATTATTGCCTTCCTAGTTATAAGACAGGAAGTGACATTGTAATAGTTTTGAAACAAATAACGTTTTCTTAATAATCTTTTTTTCATAATTCTTAGCAATATTTAACAAAACTACCGTATATACAATAAATAAAATTTTGACCGAAATTTAAAATATGTTTATGTTAATAAATGAGAATTATATACATAATTTTTTGACCCGGACACTTTTTTTATATCTTTAACTCGTTCCAATTTAATCAAATCAAAAGACCTCACATATGAATACGTTGTATGTTTGGATGTCTTCAGTCGTAAGGGAACAATTTTTCATTGTCACCACACTGTTTCCATCAGAGCCATGAATATTGAGGATTCCATGTTTTGTAGCAATACGAAATTTCTCGTTCATTTCTTCAATAATAATCATTGCAAGAAGGTTCGCTGCCTATCCACATTATCGGTTTACTGACGGTATGGAAACCATCACCCACTTTTAAACAAGAAAGTATGGCATGACTCGTAGTTATTATTCTAACTGCTAGAAGCTTTAAATTGTGTGATGCAAGTTTGCGCAGGAGTGGGATTATCGAGAACTATGCTTTTATATTAAAAATAATGAGTAAAATATTTGATTTCCATGAATACTTGTATATGGTTTAATAAATAAATTATTAAGTTACGTCAATTTATTAATAATTATACAACCGATTAGTGAATCTTGATATGTAGTGAATCTGGTTACATAGTAATCTGGGGATTCTGGTTCATAGTTTAGTGGTAACAAAAAATTAAATTATTGATTTTTTTATTGAAAAGTTAAAAAAAATTTAATTTAAAAACAAGTAGTCGTATACGCATTATGGATAGTAAAAACAGGGAGTAAAGGCGGGGGGATATATCGTCTTAATCTCTGCCTCGTAAATACCGTCACGCCGTTATCGTCTATAAATAATTATTCTAGCAGTCATCTTTTATAAGTATATCTTTATCTAGATATTTTAAAATGGATCTTTATGCGACACGGCACAATATATAATATAATATCAAAATACATTTAAATTGCATACGCAATTCTATATGCGAATATTATACAATCATTTAATCTGATTCGAAATCGCAATGTGTCAATTTGAAACCTTGTCCGTCAACGATATTATAACGAAGGAGTTTATAAATTATGACGCGTTCCGCACTAAGACGGTAAATCAATAATATACAAAATATAATTAATACGCTTCTTGAATCTATCAATAATAGGTGTACAGTAATATTATAAAATAATATATAGTGGCGCACTGTGAATAATAATAATAAGTATACGACATTAAAAAATACACGGAATATACAATAATTGTACATAAGTTTATTGACCGTGACAACAAACATGTATACAGGTATGCGTGTTTATAAAATCTATATTTAAATTGCATTACACTAAATGGTGACTCGATTATGCTGACGCATTTATTAAATTTTAGTTTAAGAGTTAACGTTTTGCCAATTAAAATATGTTGTTCTGATAAAGTGCGCAGTGCGTTTATAATTTTTTATTTTAGATTCTGAGCAAAATGAGGAACGTATTGATTTTACAATGATGTTTCTTTTTATCTGGGAACAATTGTTTTACCAGAAATTTCGCTCCAGTTTATAATAACAGCAATTTTTCTGAAAGGAAATCTAACTAGGGTGGTAGTTTAGGGAGGTCATTTTTGATTTTCCCAGCTGTTTTCATAATAAACAGGAAAAACCGAGAAAAAACAAAAAAATAGGTACAATATTTAACAAATATTATTAAAAAAAATATACAATTATGCATATGTAATTACCATAATATGAAATATGTATATATTGTTGATAAAGCAACACTATTAACAGAACTCCGCAATGGTTATCAATGGTTATTCGTTCCGTATAGATGTACATTAAATTTTCCCTCTGTCTTTCCAACTTCTCACCTACAACAATGGCCTACTCTCATACAAAATGTATCCATCTTTTTTACTATTTAGTCAAGTTATAAAACTAAAAAAAAAAATTTGACAAAATAGAATGAATTAATATATAAGGTGATTTAAATTATATTTTTGTATGTATAACGATGTAAAAGAAAACCATTTCTGAGCCGAGTTTAGTTAAACGCTTTTGATATATTACAATTAAAATCTACTGTATTAAATTAAAGCTACAATATAAATCACAATAATTGTTTTTTTTATTTCGTGTCTCAAATTTTTAGGCATATATTTTATGGAGCCCAAACAGTTTTATTTACATAGAAAACACAAATAGTTGTGGCAGTAGTATTTGATCATTTTTACAAAGCCAATGCAATTTTAGCCACGTAAATCTAAGTGAAACCTAAAAACACCTCGAAAAACATCAGGATCTTTTGATAATTATTCCACGTAACGAAAGCGCGTGATTAAAGTATTCAGTGAAAGTTTAAAGTATCTATGGTCTACTATCTTATTTTCTACCACATTACAAAAAACAAACAAATTCAAAATTGATAGAAACACCGTAACTGCGTATATATTCTCGATATCCCCTATTATCAAGAATATAACGACGAATATCAAAAAACCGTCATTTGTGACGCACAAACTAGGTCGAAATCCTACAAGAAAGTTTCCTTGAAGTTTTTGTTTGGAGGAAGATTTCTAGCCGAAAAGTTGTTTAGAGACTCAAACAAAAATAAAATAAAACCAATAAATACTCGTATAATACCTATAACATTTTACGAAATTAGAAATTCGATTATGTCGCGATCGGCGTGCTAAAAATTAGTAAAACTTTATAACATACTCGTTCGCTTTTTGTATTGACGAGCTTGTTGACGAGCAAACACGATGGTTGAAAAATATGTTGTTATTCAATGTTTCAATATTATAAAAACTTTGTGAACCGCACATTCGCTTTGAAAAATATAAATTATGTTATCATAGCTGTAAAAAAAATATATAAATATACATATATTAGTCATACCATATAAAAAATTAATTGTATACAGAAATGTAATTTTGATGGAATGTACTCGTTTATAATACCTGCGTCCTGCATATTAAAAACAATAAATATCGTTTTAGAAGAACTAAAACTACTGTTGTGGCAAATAACAATATAAAATTAAAATAAAAAAACAAAATTCTTTCTTAAACAGAATTGTAATTTTTATTTACAGACGTACAAATACCTGAACGTTGAAATACAAATTACCGAATTTTAAAATTGTATAAAATATATATTACGCCTATACAACAGTTAAACTAAAATAAATGCATATGCATAATAAATTGGGTGCTAATCCAATCTAGATATTCTAATCCAATCTAAATATTCTATTTGAAATTAATAAATTGTAATAAAATCGAATAATTTGAAAATGGTTATTTTAATAAATACCTATACGCCATTAATTTTACGAAAACTTGTTTATACAATCATAAAACTACGTGATAACGAATTTAGTAATTACATTAAGCACTAAACCGATTTGAATTTTTTTTTTTTGTATTTTCAATAATTGACCTGTTTTTATAGTATACAATTTAAAAGGTTTCCTGAGTGAAAAAGAAAATCTGCATTGTGCAACGTTAGTTTTAGTTTTTCAAAATCATTACTACGGAAATAGTTATGCCAGTTAAAAAAAAAAAAACTAAAAAAAATATCTTATTCATAAACTATTAAAACTTTTTTTTTTAATTTTGTGGTATCAATACGATATAATATATTAGGTCTATAGCTCGAGTAGTTTTCAGCCTGCGTAAAATAGTTTTAACAATCAAATTACAGATGATATATCATGCCTTATTACACTGACGTATTCTGTGGTTTATTTTTAGATATTTTTAGTTTATAAACAGATTTGAGCGACAGTAATATTATTCGTTTATTTTGTCATAATACATATTATTTGATATTAGTATTACGTATTCCTACGTACCTATAATGAGAATGTTAAATGTGGATTTTACGTATGTGTCTGTACAAATATAACTGGCGGTATGACAAAAATATGTTTTTTACTTCCATTGATATGGTGTCTTAGGTCTCGTTGATCGTATAAACTTGATTATAGGTACAAAATAAACATGAAAAATTGTACTTAACTTATTTAGAAAAGTTTTCTTTCTCCTAGAAATTGTTTTCAAACCAATTTTATTTATATTTCAAAATTAAATTTTTTTTTGAAATGATATAATTTCGGTAGATATTAATATTTGAAAGTTGTACAATTTTCTTTTCGGCCAAAACAATTTTAATTGTTTAAAATCCAATAGAAACTAAAAAAAACTGATCGACTGCTCAATTACATATTACATGTCATTAAAACATCACGCAAATTAAATAATTAAACAAAAAAAAGTTGTCCTAAGATAATAAAGACGGGTGAAACCACTGTTGTAGTTGAGAAGTTGGGGAGGTAGAATACAGACAAAAATTTAATGTATATCTGTAACGAACAATCAACCATTGCTAAAGAAAAACCGATTCTGAACGGAGTTCAGCTGATATTGTTGCTTTGTATATATGTCATATTATAGTAAAATAATTACATATATGCATGAAACGTTTTTTTAATAATATTTGTTTAATAATGTATCTATTTTCTCGTTTTTCTTCATTTTTCTCGGGTTTACCATATTTTTTCTGGTTATTCCTATTCATTGGGAAAACTCTTGGAAAAATCAAAAAAAATACTTCTTTAAAGTACAACAATCTCAGTCAGATTTCCTTTCAGAAAAAGTGTTATCATTGTAAATCGGAGCAAAATTGCTCGAAAAAAATTTGCTCACAGGTAAAATAATTTATATACATATAAACATTATTGTAAAAACATAAGCTTCTTCACTCCACTCAGAATCTCAAGTTTAAATTTAAAATAACAATTTATTTAGTTTCCAAAATATTCAAGGGGCACGTCGCTGGATAGACTGCCCAAACGGAAAGTACAAGTTCGACTTCCTCTTAAACTTGATACATGCAATTACTAATATTATTATATGATAATGTTATTTTTGTCACCGAAAAGCTCATAGGTCATATTGTCATATCGAATTATATAGGCTCGTACGTGTAATTTTATTTGGATATTTTCTTGCAGATACTGCTGATTTTGCATTTTTTTTTTTTAATATTATTACCGCGTCTAAATAAATAACATGATTTTCTTGATCTTTATTATAGTGCACATTGATCGAACCATTGTATATAAGTACGTATTCGATCAGTATAATAGATCCATCATCGTCATAAAAGTGAATGGCTATATACCTAGAATAAACGTGTATACTGTAAACAATACAATAATACAATATCAAATGCTTAACAATATTAAGTCAAAACGTTCAGGACGACCATAATTATTATTTAAAAAAATATTGTATAAAGTAATTATTAAAAAAAAAAATTTAGTTAATATAAAAACTGACGAAAGATTTGATATCCGTCGTAACTCTACTACGTTACGCGTAGTTCGCCTTTCTTCCGCAATCACAGAAAATTGCATTCGATGCTCCCCCGTATACTATTATGAAAATAATTAATTTTCATACAGACCGACGGATTATCGATGTAGTGAACCGGACCTGACGGCAAGTGCAATATTATTTTATATAACGAATGCACCTTCTGTCGACGACTCTTCAACGATGTTGAGGGTTTTTCAAAGCGAACAAAAGAACACTTAATAAAGATAATAGATATTACTTTAATTGACTGAGACTTCGAAGCCCGGTAGATCGTTTAAATATAAGGAGCCATCCCAACGGTTTTTCATTTGTTTTAAAATATTATTAAAACCCGTCGAAATCTGTGTAGGTACCTACTATCTTATAATATATTCTACACAAATTCGAGGGCCCTACGTAGCTAAAGTTGCGACGTTTGACGCTTCACAATACAAAATCGGTTCTTCTCAGGCCTTGTTGATTTTATTACCTTTTGCGAGAACTAATAATTCATAGGTGCAACTAGAGGGATGCTGAAGCTCCCACAAGCTCTAGTTCAGCTCTTCCAGTCGTTATTCAGTACCATCAGTTTCCTGACAAGGACATACAAATGAGGCAAGATTATAATGTTATAAAGAAAATTATTATTAATCCAGATTAATTACAGCGATCATTAAACAATTTGTGGCTGGTTTTTTATAGTTTTTATGTATATTGTTATCGAAAATCTGAGGAACTCAATAATTGGAGTAAGAGTCAATAAATTAATTTGATGCCATTATGTTTATTAGTTTTATGCAATCCACGAAACCAAATCGATAAATTAACATTGTTAGCCCTTTTAAATTATCTTAAACTTAAATGTTTTTTTTTTTTTTTTTTTTTATGTAGGATAACTTAAGTTATACTACCCAGTTGAACATATTTGATTACCTTGTCAACTTTGTAAATATTTCGGTATCCAACCGCTTTGTCATTTTGTTGAATTATAGAATGCAAATTGCAAGGTTGTATAATATTTTACGAAATGTTATATTTTTCCAATCATTTTTATAAAAAATATAGTTACGTTTTTATTATTATTTATTTATTTCGTAAAGTTATAAGAGCTTATATTTTATGCTTAAAGAATTTTGCCCATCTGTAATAGATAGGTATGTCGATTTTTTCCAGTTCTCTCGTCGAAAGTTAAAATATCGTCGAAGTTTATCCCTATGATTAAATTATCCATGTCTTAATAGTATAGACAAGACGTATTTTCGACTCGATAATAGATACCTACTTTTCGAATTTCTGGTATGAAAATTGAATTATAATACGACATTCGAATAAACCATTAATCTGGCGCTGTTTTATCACCGGGTAATAAATAATAATAATATTTGATATAAAGATACGGACATACTTCGCACGATTGGTGGGCCACTGTTGTAGGTGAGAAGTTGAGAAGCTATGATATAGATAATTTAATATATATCTGTACGCAACGACTAATTATTGTTGACGAAAAACGATTTTCAGTGGAGTTCGGTTGTACTTTTTTGAAAGGCCATAATATTTACGATTATCGTCAAAATGTGTTAATAAAATTCGTATAAAAACAATTCTACATTTCATTAATTTGTTTCGCACCACAAAGTACGACTTATTATAAATGAATCTCCTAATACATTTTCAAACATTTCTATTTGGTTTAATAATTGTATCCAAAAAGTACCTGCCAAAAAAAAGTTACATAAAAAAACTCGCAAAATTTAAACGCATATGAATAGCTCAAAAATTGGTACAAATACTTAGAAGATTTTAGAATTCTGCCTAAATTTAAAGTCTTTACAAATATTTTTAACTTAATCACAACAAAAAACAAAATTGAAAATAATATTTTGTAAATTCTCCCAGTTTTCCCACGTTTTTTCATGGTTTTATTATGAAAACCGGATGTTCTTCGGTGGTCGAAATATTAAATCTTTTGTGCAGCCTCAAGAAGATGCGTCGATAATGGCGAGGCAAACCATGGATCAGGTAGCTAGGGGTTGACGACGACGCCACGTACCTACCTGATAGGTTTTTCTTTGCCCTTTGAAGGCGGCTCCGTTTAGGAGGATATGCCGAGACGAGTGATGCAATACTAACGCGCCTCGTCCCTCCACTGGTTCGGTGGAATCCATAAGAATAAAAAAAAAAAAAGTAATGCCAATATCATAAACTAGTCATTTTTAATAATGTCTAAATATTTTTATCAATGACGGCAAAGGTTTCATAATAATAATATGATACGAGTACGTCAAAGGCCAATATTTTCATGCGCTCACGTTTTATTTATGATCCATAAAAAAATAATATGTTAATTTGACATTTTGAATAGGTATACATAAATAAACCTATATAGTTTAAAAACAAAATTATGATCTTAAAAAAAATATTTAACCGTTATACCTATAATACTCTCCATAAATAATCATATGAAACAATGTATAATCGAACGGTAAATTTCCTTGAAAAAATATGGATTTATGTAAATTTTACATTTCACACAAAGCACTTATTTCTGACTTATAATCAATAACTATGCGTGTGTATGTATTTTATTTTTCTCTGAGTTTACAGAAAAAAAAAATGCATAAAAATAAAATATGATACAAATTCGAATATATTAGCTGTTATACCGATGTATATTTATTCAAAAATAGCGGTGTACTTTACACCATGTGTATAGGCCGCTGTAACAGACGGACAAATAGGCAGATAATAAGATATAGGATAATTTAATTTTTGTTGCTGGAATCAACGTTAAATCATTACAATTAAAAAACGATTCAGAACGGCATTGGCGTAAATCAGTCTCAATTTCTGATGGTGCAGTAAAATGTTTATTTAATTTTTCAACTCGCCAAAATTCTAACTTTCTTATTAAAACACTGTCTAATAAACTATTAATTTACATCTCTAAGAATATGTTTTTCAGAATATATTTGTCAATATATTTATATTTATATTTGTCTTTTGAACAGTAAAATTTTTATTAGTTATCAAATATTATATTAATTCATACGTGAGATGAGCATAGCAGTGGACAAATAATGTCAGTGGATCTTATTCACGTGATTTAGTTTGACTTACCTATTCCTTTGAACAGTGTGATTATGGCTAGAACCTGATTTCTAAACAGTGCCCCTGAAAACGGGGTTGATAAGACCTCTTTCCTGGGATCTAGACGTGAAAGAGGGGGACTTTTGCAAAAATAATTATATTTAAATGAATATATACATTTTAGAAAATTACCTTGGTCCCTATATAAAATATATTCGTAATTTTCCACTAGTAGCAAAAATAACCTAAAAATCAACTATATTAAAACCAATAATATAGGTATCGAAATGTGTTTCAGTTTTCTATTTATTTAAAAGAATTACAGGGAATCTAAATTTTTTCCAACTAAGGTAGCATCGAACGAAAACTTCGCATATTTTAAGATACGCTGTGAAGAATTTGTAGTCTTTTTACGAACCAAAAATAGATTTTTCGAAAAAAACCAAAATAAAATAACAAAAATGTAGAAGGTGAACTGTGAGATTTTATAAAAAACGATTTACATAAAGTAGTCTAAAATTCCGCATTTTTTAAGACAGTCATAAAAAAATGAAAACGGTAACCGTAAAAGTGTTTTCCGAAATAGAAAAAAAAACACATCTTAGAATAACTTATATAACATTTTTGCTACACACTAAATCGAAAATTATTTATCCGATTTACGTTGAAAAAAATGTCACAATAATATTATATTTTATAAACTATATAATATTATTATTATGTTTCAGGCTGTAAATTTCCATTGCCAATAAAATCTTTACCACAACATATCCACAACAATAGCATCAAAAGTACGTATATCTGTATCTGTATCTGTATTTATATTGTGCGTGAAAACGACTTTATTTAATCGATTTTTATTTTAATATCAAAAAATATGATTAATGATAATATTGAAATATTTTTTTTTCAAGCTAGTATTTAAGTGCATATTATTTACACGCGATTAAATCTTAAGTACGTAATATGATTTAGCGCAGTTAAACATAATATAAGTAAAATATAATAGTAAAGTATAATAGATGCTGTGTATCACGGAGATTTATAATATATTTAAAAACTTAACGAAAAAAAAATGTTAATTCTTCTCTGTCGTTTAACATTGAAACTGACCAATGAAAAAAACAAATACTTTAAAAGGTAAACGATGATTTTATTAGGCTTCATAATTATATGGCATGTACATCTATTTAATTTATTATTCTATATGGTTATACTTTTTAAAATTTACGAATTTTCTAATTAAACATAAATTCCAAATAAAGTTAATACATTCCGAGATAACGAGCGTCTTTACACGTACAATTAAAATCACTCTATTTAACTACACAAACTATGTTTGATTTCTAAATAGTTTTCAAGAAAATCAAAACAATTTTCTTCGATACCCACGAAAAATAGCATAAAAAACATCATATGTAAAAAGTAATATAATAAAAAGAAAAGTGTAGTTTTAATAAGATTCAAGAGTTTTTATATGAAATTCGTAAATATTTTTGTATGCTTATTTCGATAGTTAAAAAAAAAAAATGCTTTTACTAGTGCTATTTTAAATGCTATAAATCCAAAAACCTGATAATGTAATTATATAGTAACGAGTAATTTGACTGATAAACATTAATCTATAAACAAACAATATTTAGTATATATGTTAACACATTCAATTCATATAAAACGTTCATTCTGTTTAGATTTACATTGTAATCTTATGTATATATAGGGTGACATTGACTTGAAGTTTCAAGTTTGTGTGTCAACCTGTATACAAGTCTATAAATATATTAAATTTATGTATAAGCGATTAAATGAAACCAAATATGCAGTTAGTTTGCAAATTATATATATATATACGTACCTAGTTGAATAGCAATATTTTCTTATAAAATGTCGTGATACGGGGCTTTTGAGGATGTACTTACGAACGACAATGCCATCAGAAGGCGGTCTTCGTTAGCGTATCACTATTGTTAATTTTAACCTTTTTCGTAAGACAGTTGTGTATCGTTCGATTTTTGTATCATACATCATTTGTGCATCATCAATATTATTTAACAATAAACATGAAAAAAAAGTGTATTTACCCGAAAACTTAAGTTGTTTTCTAAGCTTAAAATTCACACATCTCTAAATTTACTTTTCAATTTTTAAATATTGTATAGGTATTTCTGTTTTAAAATATATATTATGTACCATAATAATATTTTGCAGATAATCAATTAATTTTCATTTTGTAAAAATTATGGGACATTACAATATACTAAATATTGTTTTATAATATTATTTTTAATGCTTATTTTACAAGAACTTTTGTCTATATGTTATTTTACACCCTTCTGTTGTTCGGTATGTTGATGCGCTTATGATGTACGATAATTTGGTGCAGGTAAACAGACAATGCACAAACGATAATAAGCTGCTGATGGTTAGGTTAGATACCCTAACCTAACCTTTAATATCAAACAGAAACGGATGTACCACGAGGGTCCCTTATTTATGTTTTGTACTGTTGATGACATAAAACTTACAATTTTGTTCGAATTTGTGGAAATAAATGTAAATAGTTTACGAAATTTCGGGTTTCTATTAAATTTTCCTAATATTGTACGTTTTAGTAAATACTTCCCTTATAAAAGTAGTTAAACAAATTAAAACTATCGAGTAGATGCTATGACATTACATAATATATTATAAACCAATAATATATTAAACTCACGGTTTTATTAGATAATCCACTATAAAATGTTTGGCTGTAGGTACCTACGTCAGTATTTGAGAGGCCAGTTAAACAAATTTTATAATATAAACAGTGTACTTAAATTAAAATACCTAATTACAATGACTCTTGCACTACGCATTTGTGTACAGTGACATTTTTTTTTTGAAATAATATATAAGTATAGGTAAACTTCACAAGTATCACTATAAGTTTTAAATCATTTTGAAATATATATATTAGTATTTTAAAATCCTTAAAATTAAATAAAGTCATACACATTTTTTTTGAAAATTCCCATAATGGAGACGATTTGAAAAATTATACTTATAATGTATACCAATCTCGTGTTTTTCTGTATACTTTAAAGTAAATAACAATTAACATAATGAACAAAATATAATACAAAAAAAAAAAATGGATTTTGTACTCATCTCGATAATAAAAACTATATATATACGAACAAATCTTAATGTTCGGCATTTATCATCATCATAGAATGTAATTTTCGTTTATTTATTTATTATTATTTTTTTTTTTTTTAATACACCTAGCATAAAATATAAAATATAATCATAACTTTTAACTTTTTAAACTTTGATTACAAAAAAAAAAAAAAATTTATCTGACTGTAATTTCTGTAATTTATGTATTGAATAAACGAGGATGGCGGCACAGTCTTCCAATTTGTAGGTAACATTAAATTACTGTTATTAATAATATTTTTCTGTTCGACATTACATTTTTCTAGTATTTGGAATATTCTCGTACAGTATTGTTTGCGCGTTGAAAACGTGTAACATGGGCTTAGATTTTAGATATTCCAAACTGTGTCTGTTAAAATAGGACAATACGGCGTGAAAAATAACGGTCTTTCCTATAATAAGATTCCTAGACACACAGTAGTGCCCTATAATGCTGTTTTAGATTCTGAGCGAAATGAGATATGGTACGTATTATTGGTTTTACAATGAGTGGTTTTTTCCCGGTCTTTTAACGCGATTTCAAATGGTAAATTTTCCTCCAATCAAAAACTTCATAGGTTCGATAAAAAGCTTGAATTTCTTTGCAAAATTTCATATCCAATTGTAGCTACACTGTGACGAAAATTTTTTGATATTCCTCGTACTTTTCTTAAAAATAATAAATTGTGGAAAACTGACAAAAATCTCCGTTTTCACTATGAAATATCTTTATATGTTCACCAAATATACCGAGGTTAGGATGTTCTAAATATGGTATAATTTTCAAACATATTTTGAATTTTTTATAGCTATTTGATATTTGTGTATATTTTTAATTTATTCACTCTCCTTTCTTACGTATGTAGATAAATTGTCATTTTTTGTCAAATATTACACTGTACTTCAATTTTATGGGAAATTTCATGACTGACTGATTATGGGCACTGCGATTTATCTATATCTTCTTTTTAATGTAACTACCATATTATGTGTTTAAGCACGAATCAAGATAAGAAAATCCGTTCGTGAAAAAGGATACATATGCCTATAACACATTTTTCAGGTTTTTTTTATCTCTTGAAAAGTTATACTATTTGACACATACCCTTTTCCACGAACGCCGTCCAATTATATCTTTTTATCGTTACTGTTGGACACTTTTAGTGACTCCTTCTGAAACAAATGAGCTTGAAATCGGGAATTATAGTTGTTTTATATAGGTGGATTGAAGTGATCAAATTTTGATTGAAATTTACCATATTTTTCACGGTAGAAGTGTGTGTAATTAACTTGTACGGGCTACCAAAATTAAGTTAGACGGATGCAGTTTTGTATATATAAGTATCAAGAATAAGCCTTTGAGATTTTAAACTTTCCACTCCTTCCCCAACCATTCATATGTTCACATTTTTCACAGAATATACCAGATTTATATTATACTCCTACAGACTAAAATGCAACTAAACTCTGGTAATCAAAATTATTATTATTATATGAAGTACCGTAATGGTCATTAATTCGGCTAGGGGAAAATTCGACGCTAATAAAAGACTTCTGCTGCTCACTGGCATACTTTTTTGTGCCCGTAGACAATAATAACAATACGTCGAATGGGTTGTTTACAGTATACACGCATCTATCTGTATAATATATAGATATATTCATATTTCACTAGATGGCATTTTTTTTTTTGTACCATTATGTTTGTATAAATGGATCGTATAGGTATTTTCGTGGCATGTGATTTTATACATTCAAAACATATGCGTTCTGAGAAAAACGTGTTAAATATACAATAAGCCTCTCGACCGTGAAGGTTTTCCGTATAAGTAGAACTTCTGCAGCTGGTTTGCGCATTATTATAATATGCGTTTTAACTAAAAATAAAATAAAATGTTGGTGTAGGTATGTCGGCGAACGTGACGACGACGACGTAATGAAGAGAAATATCTCTCTTAGGAAATGACTCTCCTCCTACGGTATTTAACTAAAGTGATATTATATCCTTTTAATATTTGGGAAAACATGACACGTGCATTTATTTATATTATCATACTTATTTTCCACACCCGTAGTCATACATAACTTAATATAGGTACTTAAATATAATCATCTATTACCGTATTATTACCGTATGTATAAAAAAAAAAAACTAAAAACCGAAATCGTCAATATTTTAAATAAATTAATCTTCAGTTTAGGATTTGTAGGCTTTTTATAATTGTGTAATATATATTTTTGTGGGGCTCTATTGGTTTTTGAAATTTTAAGAAAAGTTACCCGTTTCATCAAAATTATTATAAAGAAATACATTATTATATTAACACTGCCTAATTGTATGCTCGTCATACACAAATGGTTATAACGGTCATCAAAATGCTTAAAATTACTAGTTCTAAATTAAATACATAATATTTTTGTGGAGAAAACTTTTTACGAGTACGTACAAATTTTAATGGTACTGAACGTTTTAACCAAAGTTTTTATTTCATTTATTGAGCCAATCGTTATTACGATGGTGCGATGGTGTAGTTCATACGATAATATATTAATAGAGTGATAGAAGAAGCAAAATATTAAAATCAATTTAGATGGAAACGTCTGCGAAAGTGTGAAGCGACAGTATAATATAACGATACAGCATGATGTGTTCACAAGGTAATAGTTACTATCAACTGTAATAGTGCGATAATTGCTTTCTTTCAAAATAAATGCTAGGGCCCCGCTCATACGACGATTATTATTGTTCATATGATAATAACTACTATCACGGTTGTGAATTTTGCAACTATCGCGATAGTTTCTATCAATCTTATTGTTTACTTTGATTTAAACTTAACGCATTGATTATTGATACAAGAAAACAAAAACATAATATTAAAACGAATAACCTGTATATAAAATACAAATAATAGAAGAAAATAATTAAAAATTAGAAACACGATATAAATCGTTCCATTTACGATATTAATAATAAAAATAATAATTTAAATATAGAATTTTAATATTTTGGGGTCGTTTCTTTTTTTTTCCGTACATTTTCTTATTTTATCCGCTGTCGCTGCTATACATAAGTTATGACAATAGAGTGTGTTATTGTCATATATTATAAAAAAATAATAATCAATTATATATTATAACGTAATGCATCACGTGATAAGTGTACTGTTGTGAAAATGTTTTTCTTATCTCCCATTCGTTATTATTCCTCTCCCCTCATGATTCACTAAATGCAATACAGTAACAATAGGCTGACAAACCCTGTCGTTAAAAATATTATAAATATTATAAATTGATGTTCTTTCAGTTTTCTGCCATTACCTCCAGATAAAGATAACTTCTAATCGTTCATGAATTACAGAATATTATTATGTACCTACATGCGTACCGAAAGCTTTTAATATTGTAAACCAATGCGTTAAATCGTAATTGAGTAGTATACCGGATCGCGTTAAATCTGACAGAACCAATAACTGGCTATCGGTTCAGTAAAATCATAAATCGTTTTGTAAAACTAAAACAAAATACATATGTTTCCAAACACAGAACTGGGGGAAAAACACGGGAGAACCGGAAAAATCGTAGTAAAAACGGGAAAATCGGATTTAATATTGTTTAAACAAATAATATTAAAGAAAATATATAATACCTATTTAATTATTTCATTAACAAGGTAACGGAGTAAAGAAGTGAAACTTATTATAATATTTGAATCTACTGAAGCCTCATGTAAGAGCAACTTCATACAATGTGGAATCAATGAAAGAAGATGAAATTGAATCTAGAATTAGTTTTTAACCCTAAAATATAAATTGCATTGCGAGAGTTGCAGAAACTGTGTTTGTGTTTATAATGTTTTACGAAAATTCATTTTGTATTATGATTCATATTCTAATTTACCATTGGCATCTAAACGTGTACCTACACTAATTACTACATAAGTGTCATGTGAGAGGTCTTTTTCATTTTTGAAAAATATAAAGACAAGGCTTCGCAGTCAACTGTCAGATATCTACGAAATTAGAAGCATTTATGTTAATGGCTATTAGAAAAAGAAAAATTTAACATTAAATACTGATAAAATTATTGAATTAGTTTATAGAGTTCGCTATTAAAAAAGAAAACTCATTATAATTTATTACTATCATTATTTAAATATGTTAAAAAGGCTTATGCATAATATAATATGTATACACATTTATATTATATATTGTTAATTCAATTAATATAACATAATATAATGTATCAATAAAAAGGACGAACATAATTCGCACGTGGGTGCAGCCACTGTTGTAGATGGGAAGTTGGAAAGGTAGAATACAGACAGGAATCACATTAATTAAACGATAAATCATTGTTAACGAAAGAACGATTCTGAGTGGAGTTTAGTTAATAGTGTTGTTTTTTCAATAATATATAAATGTCATATTATAGTAGAATAAAATGATAACAATTAATGTTTCCATGACAACATTGATTATTTAAAATGATTCAAATAATAAATTTAATACATAATAACAAAGAATAAATAAAAGTTAATGACAACCATTTTTTAATTTTTTAATCTTCACCTAAAGAACCAGGTTTTTCACATTATCTCGAATATGAATGAGAATTTTAAAAAATGACCTCTTTAAAGTACCACCCAGAGAACATTTCCTTTCAGAAAAGACGCTATACTTGATAATCGGACTAAGATTTCTGATAGATAAAGTGTTCACATAAAAAAAAAATAAACATCATTATAAAAATAATACATTCCTCACTTCGCGAAGATTCTAAAATGTAATGTAAAAGAATGTTAAAATTGCAATTAACTAAAAACTTTATTCGGGTAATAAAATACACTTGCTGGTTACCCCCACGCTCCCCTCCGAAATATAGGCCACTATTATAAATATCAATTGTCTAAGTTGACCTATAAGTTATTACGCGTTGTGACCAATTCTGATCCCATATTTTCCATATGTCATTATATATCATATTATAATCATATTTTCATATTTGTCATTTACCATACCTAGTAATATTATTGAATATGATTATTGCTGTTGTAATGTTTCAGTGAGCGTATTATTTTCTTAACTTATTGTACGTTCAGTCATCAAATAAAATGTTTCGACCAGGAGAAGATACTGTAAAACCATGTTATTCATATGATTTACCGGATGTAGGTACCTAATAAGGTACACTTATATCCTGGCCAACTTAAAAGCATACCTGGCGGCGGACGAAAACACGTCAGTTTTCGCGCATGTGTTTCCATTCCCGATTATCGGTATCGCTTCATTCACTCGCCATTTTATCATCTCGCCACCGCCGATACACATGGTATACAACATACGTAGAGAACAAAATAGCGATAATATTTTGTTTTAACGGCCTTACTGCGTACACGTATATTCTTGCACAAATGCTCTGTTTTAATTTGAATAAAGGCTACAATTATCTTTTAAGTAATGTATTTTTTTCTATGTTGCCCGTTAGTTTGAATAAAACAGTATAGGTATGCGTGTATATTAAGATTTCTTTGGCGATAGGTATTATAGATATTATAACTCGCCATATACATGACGGCGGTGACCACGACGACAGCGCGCGGCCGCGGCGTACGATCGGTAACAATTGTCTCCGATCTATCAAGTAGGAGGTTCGGCAACGTTCAGTGGTCAGTCACGCATGCGCGAACGAATGTGCAGTTAAGTTGGACAGGAAATAGATAATAAATGCCAGAGCAGTAGTACTCAGGGTTGCTAACTATTTAATTTTAAAAATCGGGACTTTTTCCAATACGAAAAAATGTTATTCTAATTTTAGTATAATAATTTTGGAAATACCATACAACATCATACTTTCTATTTGTTTATGTGAAACGCTATTTGCGAGGTGTTGCACATCCGATTTACCTCCATGAGATATTAAAGTCTTTCCTACATAATTTAAAATGACCATACAAATTGTAATTTTCTGATTTTTTAAACCTGCAGGTATTAGAACTTAACCACATTACGTCATTAATTTCATATATGATTATAATATAGATACATACACGCCAATTGCACACACGTACAATATGAAAACACACAGCATAGGTGCTAATGGCTCATTCCAAAATAAAATATTTTACAATTTTTACAATTTACACTCAATTTTTTTTCAACCACTGTTTGGAGTATGTAAGCGAGAATCTTGTCTCTTTCTAGTTAAAGGTATTTTGAGGTTATGTTTAAACTAAAATCATATCTTAGTTCGTGTTCACCTCTCAACGTTATGTGTTATAATGTTAAGTTAATACTTTATTATGAACAAGAAATTAAATTAAATATTTAAACATAATCTCAAAATACCCAAAGCCAGAGAGAGAACAGTCGATCTCTCTTCACTATTTCGGATTTCCGCAGGCTATTGCGTACTTTATTAGTATGGAAATAGCATATCCATTCATTATTATCAATTTTGTATTAAAAAATAAAAATCATTATTTTGTAATTTGTAGGTACGCAGTTTATAACTGTAAATACACAGGTAATAACTAAGTGATTATAGTGTAACTCCTCCAGAATTTTATTTTGTATGCTCTTTGGTATTACTATTCTATTTTGTATGCTCTTTGGTATTACTATTCTGTGTCTCCACAATATAGTATTTTGTTCTAAGCTCAGCAGTTCTTGTTTATTTCTAAACACCTCTAATTCTTTGTTGACTTTTTCTGGCCAACCGTTTGATATATAATACTTCACTTTACTTAATAATGGATCATTATTAGTCTCTTTTTGAANTCATTTCATCCACATAATGTAAATATGACACTCCAGCACCACGTTATTTTCCTATATCCACTGGCAATCTGGATAGCCCATCTGCACTATTCCTATTTGATGTTACAAATTGGATTTTGAAATCATATCCTGATAAAAACACTGCATATCTTTGCAGCCTGCCCACTGTCATTACAGGAATGCCTTTTTTGGCCCAAATATACTCACTAATGGTTTACAATCACACTTAATGACAAATTGCCTCCCCCATAAAAAATTATTAAATTTATTTACTCCGAATATAATTACCAATGCTTCTTTGTCAACTTGACTGTAATTTTGTTCTGCAGAGTTCAGAGTTCTTGAAGCAAACGCCACAGGGTGTTCTTTGTTTTCATCATCTAGTTGCGATAATACCACATCTAAACCATAAACTGATGCATCTCAAGTAAGAATTGTCACCTGATTGGGATCAAAATGTTTTAAAATCCTATCAGATATGATTTCCCTTTTAATTTGATTAAATGCTAAATGACGATTTCTGTTAAAATTAAACTGTACATCTTTCTTTAGTAAATTTGAGAGAGGTGCCTGAATCGTTGAGAGTTGTGGTATGTATTGCCTATAATAATTTATTGAACCTAAAAATGCTTGTAGTTGCGTTTTATCTTTAGTTGCGTTTTGTCATAAAATTAATGGCTTTAATTTTCTCGGGGTCCTGTTTACTACCTTCTCTATTTATTATATATCCCAAAAATTTAATTTTATTCTCAAAAAATAAGCATTTTTCTTTCCTAACTGTTAGACCTAGACTTAATCAGGTCAATAACCTCTGTTAATGTTTCAAAATATTCTTCTTCACTGTCACCAAAAATTAGTATTTCATCAAAATACACTCTTATGTTTGGTATCTGTTTTAATTTTTCACAAAATCTGTNTAAAAAAATGCCTACCAATGCATTTATACCAAAAGGTACTCTGTTATAAATATAACATATCCCTTGTGGGTGCTTATTTTCCTCTGGTTTACTCGGTGTACATAAATCTTTGAATATCCTATATGTGTTTTTTCCTATCATCGTTAATAATGTTGAGACCACTTGATTTTCTTTGATGCTGTTGCACTTTATAAATAATGAGAAACGTTCCACATACGATTCCCAATCATTATCCTTCTCATCAAATGGTTCCATGTGGCCTATAGTAAACTTGGACATTTTTAATCCAGTTTAATCCGACGTTTGGTATGAAAATTACTTTTTATCTTTGTCGCCAGTTGTTCTGTATGTGTTATAATACAATTTACAGTTTCACTTTAATATTATTAACTCTTATATTTTGACTATTAAAAACAACGTTATGTAGTGAATACTGACTGTGTTAGTTTAACACACATTACATAATCTACTATCACAATCTTATCACATATTACTACAATGTTACATAGATAATATAAATTAGATAATGTACAATCTACATTCATAACAGCAAATTCAATACTAAGTGTTGTTGAATTTTACCGGAGAATTATTAATAATATTCGATTTTAATCGTGTACATACAAATGCTGTAGAACGTATTTACCTCCCCCCTCTTTCCATCCTAAGTACAATTTTACCTGAATTGTAAGAATGGCAAAGGGACTATTTTTTATTCGTGGACATTTTAACCACGCGGGCACATAAGAAAAAATAGAATACTCGTATGTTTACCAATTATACATTAATATGTTTATAAGTGAAATATCCAGCAGAAAAAATACATTTTCAATTTATAAGATTCTACAGTACAAATATATTGTAGAATGTTTCCAATTACCGTTTAATGCGCAACCGTACACCTACGCAGTTTGTTGGCAATAAATAAATTTAACGACTCGGAAATGTTTGATTAATGTTATTCACCGGGGGGTAGCTTAGTATAATAATAAAACGATACGTTCGTCATAAAACTACATGTATAAATAAGAATTAAATTACAAAAACATATAGGTACGTATTCCTACTTCATTTGTATTACTATATAGATTTTAATCATAGTAGCAACTAGCAGTGAAAGTAAGCAGTAAAACCGTGAAGCCGGAGATTAAAGTATTCGGACTAGGTATTTATTATTTATATTTTAAAGACTTCACCCTTTGAATAATTTCACCCTTATTTAATAAAATAAAATCATTTCACAAATAAACTATTTTGCTAAAAACATATTTAAGTAATTTTATAATTTAATTTAACACGCTTTAATAACCCATGTATTTATATATTATTATATGGATACATAATACATTAGTCGTTAATGCCATTTATTGCTATTTAATTGATTGCGCGTTTGTCTTTTTTTAGTTTTAACTATGACCTTTTATAGTCTCAGAATGAGAATGAAATCAATTTGAATAAATTATGCACATCTCAGTAATGCATTTTAAAATACGTTTACATGTGTGTTACATTCTTAAATAACTTAAAACGGATTTATATTTTTAGTCATATTATAACACAAACATAGTGTATAATAAAATATTAATATTGAGTTATACGTAATACGTATGATTTATGTATATTAAAAATCAAATACCTACATAATAATATATAGTAGTAAAACACCATGAAACGAAACATGTGAAAATTTGATATTAAAAAATAAATTAACTGTAAAAAGTCATGATTACACATTTTTGTAACAACCTTGCATATTTATATAACACGCATATAAACGTTTGGAAAATCGTAACCTTCATGAAATCTAATTAACATACCTACCATATAGGTACTATTTTTATAATAGTTGTACGTTGTTGAAATTTTAAGTACTTACTAACGTTAATAATTGCAGATTTTCGCAATTTTCTAACCGTAAAATAAAAAATATGATTATAGTTGTATTCTCTCTTGCATTAAAATATAAAGTCGTAAGACTTAAAATTATGAATTTCAATAAAATAAATATTACTTAAAATAAGCTCAATAATGGTCATGCAAATTTGTATCTTGTCTAATATAAAAGAAAAAAAATGTTTTTGAAATATTCCAATAAATTGCACCAAAATTAGAACTTAAAGGTGTATAGTATATTTCAGGGTTTCGTTGAAGATATTTATTTATTAAAAATATAAAGGCAAACAAGTTTAACCGCATAAAGCGTGTTTACAATCATTTTGCATCAAAATTTAAACACTCAATTATTAAATAAAAATGTTATATGATTTTCGATATTTTTTATAGTACTATAATCACAACGCTGTTAATGAACCGTGTATCTAATTTTCTAATAAATAATAATTAAAAAGTCGTTTACAGACATAATAAATTAAAGAAAATAGTATACGTTAAATAGTCAATTTTCAATGTGATCCTTAGATAAAATAACCGTTCAAAAAGCCAGTTAGAAAATGTATACACACTATTTGTTTTAAACTTAAAGCTACATTACTTTATATTATAAGCAGTAATTAATTAAGCAGTTTAAGATGTTACGTAATTTTCAACAAGTTTTTTTTTGCCTTTAACTTTGATATCAAGAAGATATTTACGGATTTTATTAACTAAACTTTTTAATTTGTGAACTTGTAATCTTTAAATTACAAACAGTATTTTCGTTTAATTGTAAAAGGCAGCAGTTATCGTCATGACGCTTATCTGATTTTCCCAACTTAATTTAATTATAGTAAAAAAAAAAGATTTTGGTTTAATACGGTTCAGGTAACACATTATCAGAGTATAAAATTAACGAAAATTGCGTAATTTAAAACGAAAAAAGTTGTCGCTTAATAAACCGCAGCAAGACGTATTTCAATGTTCGATAATATTCAATCAGTTTTTTCGAAAATGTATGGTTCTATAATATTACTCGTATTTTTGTTTGACTCGTGGTTGCACCGTAAATCGCGATACGTATTATTATTGAGCATACAATTCAACCACTATTAACAGTTAACAATTATGTCTTGTTAATATTATACAGAACGTTCCTTTGAGTGCGTTGCAGTGAACTGTTTCTCATGATGAAGTACAGGTAGTTTTACGAGCACGTAAATCGAATTAGCACAACATCGTGTAAACGTAGGTAACGTACGATCGCATAAGGTTTTACCTCCGAGTTGTATAATTATTTTCGTGTCGTCCTATACCGTCTAGAGCTGGGGTTTTCAACCAAACGGTCGATAGTGATAGTAATAGTGGAGAGGTTAGGGGGGAGGAAGATGCCAAAATAATAAATAATGTCGTTCGAATATATAATTTTTGAAACGGTATTACGGTCAAAAACGTTCACTTGTTTGATATAGCTGTTCGTCAAATAATTGTTTAAGGTGATAAACTCCGGTAATTTTATCGGACGAAATGGTGACGGATAATTTGATAAAATTTTAAATTGTCCGTGCCCGATGTCATTTGTCCTATATAATTGATTATCATGGTCGATGTATGTGTATCGGAATGTCATTTTAAAAAGATATTTTTTGAAGCAAAAAAATAAGATTCAATGATAATGGGATCACGACTCATAAAATGTTGAAAACTTCTCCAGACCAGAGAACGCGATACGGATTTTAAAATTAATTTTAATGTATACATTTTTCTAATATCAATATTAATTCACGGTCGCATTCATTTTATCAAAGTGGAACTAATTCCCTACTTGTGTTTTTTCATCGTTTTTCAAGTTTTTTTTACTCTAAAACTCTTTAAAAAACGTTTAAACGAATTTTGATATTTTCCGCGGCTCCCGGATGCGCGGTTTTCGTTTTCCGAAAACATCTTTATCATTCGTTATTATCGTTTCTTTCTATCCGTGTTGTCCAACGCTCTGTAGCTCGCGGCGATCGGTCATGACGTCATTCGTTATCGTATATACTATATCTCGCCGTATTTCGCAGTTTTCGTTATTTTCGCACGTTTTATTCTCACCTAAACTGTTTTTAGTTTACCTTATTACTTTTTATACAAGTATAAGTCAATTTATTATTATAGAGAAAAGACATAAGACAGTACCTATGAAAGTAATTGACAACTATTAAACAAATAATAATAGGTATATATTATAACTTCTTATTAAATTTGCTCAATTATACAACAATGTTAATTAATCTATTTTACAGTAAAATATCATTTTTGTTTCATTTATTCTACACAATTTTCGGCTGCATCTCACATAACCATTAGATTTATTATGTTATAACACTGTCCACAGGTTTTTGTGTATTATTAATGAAAAAAAAAAAAAAAATACAAGCAGTTAGTAAAATGTATTAATATAATATATTATTTCCACTTATATAATATGGAAAAAAGTCCCTACGATTTTAAAATTATTATATTTATAATTTTTAAATGACAGTGTAGTTATATGTGTTTAGTTGTTTTAATATTAAAATTTAAGCGTACTCAAACTTAAAGTAGGTACATAAATTATTTGTGTTTTCAATTTATTTAATGAAATATTACAAATTTTATAATGGTTTTTTTTCACATAAATAATTATTCTTATTAAGTATGTATTATTGAAAACTTTCTGTGCATTCCAAAATTCAAACATACCTTAAAATAATACAATTTTCATTCTCATTATGACCCTTAGTTATTACTAATATTCCATTGCAACTAAATTAAATGCAATATAAGACAATGATAATACAGTTTTTTTACCAAAAAAAAAAAAACATTTAATATTAGTTGTGTAGCACAAAGATGATGATTGATACTGAATAGTTTTCCTATACATTTAATATCTATAATTATGTATGATTTTCTAATTTTTCTGATAAAATATATTATTCTAATTTATTCTGATTCAACAACTAAATTCATACTTAATTTATTAATTTTAATATGTAAAATCCAATTGCTATAGAGGTTTTGTTCAGGTTCTTACTTCATTATCAATACCCAACTATTGTAATACATACATACAGTATTTAGATACATTATGTTATGCATACGTTATACACAGTGAATTAATTACAGTTGACAAATTCTTCTATTATATTTATTTATATGTGTCAGTACTTACCTATTGTGGCATTGATTTAGTATCAATATTTATATTATATTATATTATATTATATTACATTTGCATTAAATTAACATAAACTCAATAATACTCAACTAATAAATAAACTAATTTTTAAAAAATCTTTAGTGAACTTCAGGAATATTATACAGCTAATTTTTACTCTCTAATTATTCAATTTATTATTATTATATTATTAATATTATTATAG